GTGTTTTCGGATCAGTGTAGACTTCAAAGCAGATAGAACACGTCAGAAACTCTTCAGCTATTGTGGACATGGATGTCATTTCGATTTATTCTGAAATAAAATAAAAACTGTCAGGTTATAACATGCTTTTTTTTCAAAAGATAGCTTTCATATCATGTACAGTGTATTTTTCTCCAAGTCATTTTCTTTGGTCAGATAGAAGGTGGGAAAAGGGATATGCATGAATCGTAGTCGTCAAGCAGATTGGATTTTTTTAACTTGAATAAATAATATAAACACTCCGGATACTGAATTAGTTGCGAAATTTTTCTGACCAAACACAGATATATTTGTTTAGATGGGTCCACTCAAAACACGTTGCCATCCTGGTTATTTTTAGTTGAAGGTGGGATTTTTATAGGATTTTTTTTTTGACGATAAAAACTTCAGACCCCTGAGTAAGCTATGCTAAAAAAAATTTTCTAGAGAATTTCAACATATTGAGAGAGGTACACATGTACAGTCGTATATGTGGACTTCAGACCGTGGCTTGAGACAATGGGGTTAAAAAAAATATATAAAGTCTTGTTGATAACAAAAAAAAAGTACATTGCCACAAAATGGTGACCCACTTTTCTATATGTGTATGATTATATCACTGTTTTTAACATTCAAAATGAAACGTTCATGATAAAAGTTTACAACAAAAGTACAAATAGCACCTTAAATTGTTCTTTGATTTTAAGTGAAAAATAAAATTACCTCAATTTTTTTCCTACCTTCTTCTTGTACCTGTTGAAGATACTACCATAAACACAGATTTATTCATGTGAAACAAGGCATCGAGGAGGGAAGTTAAACTCTCCTATTTCATTTGAAAAGTTGTATTGGCCCTCATTGTGCACCGGCAGGTGGAGTGCTTTATCAAGACCGTGTGCCTTGGATATCGATCGACGCGTTGACCCATAATATCTCGTCAAAAACGCAGATATTCATTTTCTGAAATCAGTGTAGAGTTAATGCAAATGTAAACGATTAGTCATATAGAATTTCATTTTCTGTTAAAACGATAAAATATATAGATAATGTCTTTAAACTTACCTAGAGGAAAGCGATTGAGGAAATAAAAAAGAATCACTTTCCAAAGCCTGTTACCAAGTTTGAGGAGTTTGATTTTGAAGGTGACAGAAGACACCATATAGAAAACAAGAGACCCGTAAACCACATCCCTTAAAGATATGTATGTTGTGTTAAACATTATTTTTGCACAGCTGAAACCGAACAAAAATTTCTGAAGTATGATAAGCTATCAAAAATGAAGCATTCTTGCAAATTCGACGAAATATTATTCGGTATTAACAAAGTACTGGTCGGGAAAAGAACACGATATTCTCATGCATATTTATAAAGGACTGACATTTATCCTGGATCTGCGCATGTGCGCGGGAAATTAGCATCGCGAGAATCATCAGGTCGAGGAAAATATTTTTTGTGACGTCTGTTCAGTAAGGAACCAATATGACTGACAAATCGACCAATCAGCTCAATGAGTTGCATTTAATGCATTTATGGGTTACTACATAAAATACTACATGTGTTTTTCGAAAAGGCTTGTTTTTTAAATCGCTCTCGGAAAGACTTGATGCATTTTCCCAAGCATTTACACGCTTAATGCATTATGTACATTATTATCTACTAATCCCATGCTCATATTTGCATACAAATGATTAACAATGATAAAAATTAAAGTTTTCCCCACTCCATTGCACAGGTCCGTTTGTTTAGAGTTTCCCCGTGCTGTACTGCTGGTGAAAAGACAATTTCACGTGATTATTCCTCGGTTCAAAAAGCAACCAACTCTGAGGCGAATAATATTTCATAACTTTTAAAAGTGATGGAGTGGAATTTTTTTTTTTGCAGAAAGTAAATAACTTATATAACTTGATGAGACACCACATATATTTATTTCTCTTAAAATAAAACACTAATACGGCGTATATATCTTTAATCACTCAACGTGGCCCCTCTCTGCCGTATTGCGTCATTATTTGAACAAACTTGAATTTACACTACTGTAGGACGTCCATGTACAAATATCTAATCATAATTTGACTGACTTGATTTACCATATTGTAAATTCTTTGTTATATGCTGAATTTGAATATGGAATGTTCCGTGTACCTGATCAATATATAAGGCTCAAGGCGAGTGTGACCAGCCGACAGGGGATGCTTACTCTTCCTAGGTAACTGGTCCCACTTCTGGAATTTCCAGGAGCCAGTGTTTATGGCTTCTTCGAAGATAAGAGTTTCAAGATATTTTTTTTAAATCGATCACTGTTCATTATCTTCTTTTTTCATTTCTTAATACCCTATGCTTTCCTTTTCTTGTTTAATCTTTTGTACAGTATAGTCATTGATCTGCAAATTGTTTTTATCATTGAAGACCATATTATCTTGAAATTAAGGTATTCAACCCGTAAAAAGGACAAATTCAATGAAATTGAAAACATAAAAGATATGTAGGCATTGAATACTCAGTTTATTTACACATAATTCCCATTTATCACTATTAGTATGTATAGTGGGATGTATCCTAATTCATGACCTTGAATTTTGGTAAAGTTATCTCCCCTTTTTTTAATTAATGAAAAAAATCAATTTAAAAAAATTTAGACGGTGAAAAAATTGTTTTCAATTGTCATTCTATTTTTAATGTTTCAATGCATCTTTCCACCGCAGGATTTATTGATATTCAAATTATTTGAATTTTTATTTTGAAAAAACGCTTTTTCCTATAGACTTCAATGCAATTTTTGTTAATTAACCACTGCTTAATTAATGAAATTTTTTATAATTTCTCGCGGACATCCTTTTCCACTATGAATTGCTTTAATATTTTATCAAAGTATTATGTACCTGACGGACATGTAAGAGTAGGGAATTTGGTCCCATTAGGGATGGAAATCCTTAAGCTTCCAAGTCCCAATACTATAAACACGTGATACGTAGTTTACATTTTTAATATCTTGATGACATGTTTATAAAACATGTTCAAAATTTCTTGTTGAAAAATAAATACATTCTGCAGAGTTCTAAATCGAAAATAGAAAAGACGAAAGATATTCAAACGAAATTGATTTCTAAATGTGAAAAACTAAATGCTCACGAAACTTCTTTGAGGAAAATGATTAGCCAAGCTTATGAAGAAACAGTGCGCAAGTTAGACTTAAATCGGAAGTTGGTTGAAGATGAAATCAGTAGATCCATATCCCAGGAAAGAGAAAACATTGAAAGTCGCTTGAAAGAGAGCTTAAGCTGTGGAGAAGGCCTCACACAAGCAATTTCATTCTGCGAAAATACGATTTCAAATGGAAGTGACTTAGAGGTTGTCCTGTTTCAAGAGGAAATGAAATTACATTTACAGAAGCATCAAAATCTTCAGGAAAAATGTTCCATACAAAGTGTGCCCCGTCAGAGTTTAAAAATCAAAGTTGTTCCAAAAGCTATTGATGTTTTGAGTTGGAAAGAAATTTTATCGACAAAGAAACATCAGACAAAGAATGTGACATACCCACTGATGGCACTGGTTTGGCGACTTCAATCAAGAGCAAAACACAGTCAGAAAATGATAAGGATGGGGAGAAAAAAGATAGTGAAAGGAATAAAACTGAAGTACCAGTTCAATTGCTAAAATTTTGGAAAACGTACAAACTATCAAAAGTAAAAACCGTTTGAACAAAGTTTACAACATTCAAGCATGATGACTGATACGTGACTGAGTAAGTGACATTAATAATTATCACAAAGAATTATTGTACAGTATCAGGTTATAAATGAATATGTCTTGTACGTTTATGAAAAAGTTTGTCTATTTGAATATGTGGATGGGATAAAAAAAAATATGATAAAGCTTTGCTTAAATTTACTTTTCCTGAATCACAAAAATCGAGATGTACATTAATTTTATGATAACTTGCATTACCCAAGTATATTCCTTAAAAAAACCACAAGCATTGATATTCAAATACCCAGAATAGTCACCATGACAACTAATTTCAAATATATAGATAAAACATGTTGAAGGACATTTTCCCCTTTTATTTTCCTTTTTCTTATTTTTATTATTATATGGAAGCATCTAATCTTGCGCTCTTCAAAGTTCACAGGTATATACTAGTATACAAACAAATCTTTAACTAATATTCTTGCATTTGCAATGGCATGATAAGGGAAATCTGCATAGGAATATACTTAGATATTGTAGATTAAAGTTTGTTCAAATCATGACACCACAAGGGTAGGAAGGGTCCAACATGGGCGATCAAAGTTTTACATAATTATATACAAAAAAAATATTGATAAACAGCAAGTCTTCAGACTACGTTATAGCCATGATTCTTTGGTTCATTTTGTATTATTTGGAGTTTTTATTGTCTGTTTGTTTCTTTGTTTTCAAAGGTCTTTGCATAAGAAATTATGATATAACATTACAAAATGGCACTAGTATGTTTGCCTTCCAAGTTTATTCAAGACGAACCGAAACGATGGAGTGTCCGTTTGTGATCAAGATTTCGCCTTCTTTGTTCAGGGCAATACTTTTGGGTTTCTTTAAGATGGAACCAATTTTAACTGTCCACAGAGTTTCGCCAGAACATCTGAATATCTCAATACAACTCTTTCCATAATCACATACATAAATAATGTTGTTTTGGTCCGAGGAGATGGAACCTGGAGAGCAATTCTTTCTTCTTTCTAAATATCCAGAGCCTCTGATGATAAATACACAGTCCTGGTTCCAATCTGACACTACAAACATTCCATTCAGAAGAACGTGACCAAATTTCGGGCTACTTAGTTTTCCTGCTTTGCTTGAATATATGATGATGACTTCTTTGATTTTAAAATTTTCTAAAACGCATATTCTATCTATACCGGAAATCCAACTTATTTGAGACGAATTAGGATGACAGGTTAATAAAGTTGAAACTTCTGAAAATGTCTGCTTTATGTCCAAGGAAGTGTTAATTATATGTAGTTTGTTCCCAGTTGTTTTACACGCTAGCCCATCCTTGAAAGATGTTACCACCATACAATCCTTCATGGCTATTGATTTTCTATCATTGTTTTCTTTAGAGAGAAATGCAAGTCTTTGAGTTCCTTGATCAACAATTGCAAACGAATTTTCATTCAACCACGCAGCACTTGTGTATCTTACCTTTTTAATATCTTTTCCGTGTTGTTCGGAAAATCTTTGCAGTAATTTCGGAACTAAACCATTTACTACATCTCTAATAGGTGCATTTTTTTCAGCTAGTTTTGTTTTATATTTAGTCCCTTCTTGATTCGTTCTTTCTAGTTTTGTACATTCTTGATTTGAATTTTTTGCCTGTTCCCCCGCATTTTGGTAAACCAAGTTAAAAATACACCCACCAGTACTTCTTTCAATTGCAGGCAGATCAGTGTTTTCAACATTGCAAATTTTTGCTCTTTTCGAAGACTGTAACGCTGAGAAGCGATCTTTTATTTCTGATTTCATGGAAAGAATTTCAATATCACTTCCACATCTGAGAAGGTTATGGCAAAACGAATATGTCTCTTCTAGTACTTTCCTTTCCTTTTCAACTGATTCCTCTTGTTTTTGCAGCGTTTGTTGTTTTGATTTTACAATCTGGTCTATTTCTTTTTCGATTGACTTTTTTGAGTCCATCATGTTTTCGATAATGGTATGCATTTGTTTTTCTAAATCTGCCTTCAATTCTTGCTTTTGGACCTCCAGTTTAGTTGATGCAGATGCTAAATCTTCTTTGGCAGCCTGAAATCTTTCTACATTCTCTTTCAGTGAGCTCATTTGGATATTCAACTTTTCTTCCATACTTTTCCTTGCATCTGATGGGGCAACATATTTATGGTTCTGATGGCCGAGAACGATACAATCCCGACAAATAGGATCATCACATGTTTCGCAGAAGTACCTCAGGTACTCGCCAGTGTGTTCAGAACAAGGAATCTGTTGTTTGGATCGAATTTCCTCATTATATTTTCCAGATGACACTTCTGACAGGCAAACAATTTTATGGTTTAATGTTTGTGTTGTAGATATATGTCGATGTTCTGCACATTCGGAGCAAAGCAAATCTTTACAGGTAAGACACTGTGAGGATGCCTCAATGTTTTCGCCTTTTAAGCTACAAAACGAACATAGTTTCTTGACTTCTGTGTTAGAACTGATTAGTTCTATAAGATTTTTCAAACAAAAATTTGTCTTCAAATTTTCTACATCGTTATTAGAAAGTTTAAATGTTTCTCTACACACAGGGCAGGAATATTCTTTTTTATTTGGTATTTTCTTCGTGAAGGTATTGATGCAATCCTTACAAAATGAATGCAGGCATGGAAGTGTTTTCGGATCAGTGTAGACTTCAAAGCAAATAGAACATGTTAAATGTTCTTCAGCTATTGTAGACATGGAAGCCATTGCTGTTTATTCTGGAATAAAATACAATCTGTCAGGTTATAATATGCTTCTTTCAATTGTATAAATTTAATAATTAAAGAGTTTTAGAAATATATTTTAAACATGTTTACTGTTATATTTCTAAAAACATTTTCAGGAGTCGAAATTGAAATTTTAACATAACTAAAATCCCCTAATGAACACAAAGATAATGTTACACATGTGGTCTGTGGTCTTCTGGCAGACATCGGTGTCTCAGACTGATGCAGGGTGTGTTAATAAAAAACAAAATGTTGTTTTGAAACATTGATGTCCCCATGTCGCAGCTTTTGGCGAAGATTAGAGTTTCTCAAATGCGAGGTAAACTCCAAGGTCAAGAGAGATTGATCCGAATTTGTTAACTTTTAACTTTTGATACCCAGGGGAAAATTTGTTACCAAGAGAAAGAACTTGTCTCAATGAATATACTTCTGAAATATGAAAGCCAAACACCAACCATTAAAAATTTACGACCAATGTGTTTTTAATAAATCTAAGTCAATCTCAAAGATAATATTAAAGGAGCCGAGGGGAAGGCCTTGTCATAAGAAATATACATGTGAAATTTATTTATAGCTCTAGATCCAACTGTTCAAACGTAATAAGGTCAAGATTAATTTTTGTAATAAGTCAAACTCAGGTCAAGAGGCAAAATCAAGAACATTTATTCCATGCGTTATGTATTTTGATAGGCTAGCATTGGTTAGTGTCTTTAATTATTTCGGGGCTCTACAGTGCCGTTGTACTTATAGGTGAAGATTGAAAATAAATCTTAATACTTAAAAATATAAACATAATGACACCCAACAACAATAAAACAGGTGTGGCAATAATGTATCAGCTTGAAAAGGTTTAATTTTACAATAAAAAAAACTTACAAGACATTAATCGCACTAAAATTTCAAATGAATTAGCACAAGCAAATTCAAAGAATTGTGGTCCCCCGCTTTTGGTGTCTTTGTGCGTGAGATGTTATATTTTTCATGACATATTGTGTGTAATATGAACACCTTATCATATGTCATTTCTTTAGAAATTATCACTGAAGTTGATTTTTTTTTAAATAAGGTAAATCGTGAAGGTCAAGGAGTAAGAAATCTTATCATGCTCAAAATTATCTTGTGACAGGCAATGCACATGTCAAGTATGCCTTCTCAATATAAGGAATTTTCAAGATGTGTTTTTGAAACACTGATGATCCCGTATGACAACATAACGAAGATTAAAATTACCAAAAGTTGGGTTTTTCTCACAAGAAATACGATTGTGAAATACAAAATCTCTAGCACCACCTGTTCAAAAGTTATAATCGTGGATAGTTTTGAAAGGTATGTCAAACTCCAAGGTGAAAGGGTCTGAGTTCTTGGTTTCTTAAGAAAAGTCTTGTAACAAGTAATACATATGAGTTGGATGAAAGCCCTAACCGTTCAAAAGTTATGGCCAAGGTTAAAGTTTTTTAAAAGTAGGAAAACTCCAAAGTCAAGGTCAAAGGGTTAAAGTTAGTATCCAATGAAAGGTCTTCTCACAAGGATTACATATTTGAAGTGTGAAAGCCCTCGCCCCTACCGTTCAAAAGTTATGGTCAAGGTTAAAGTTTTTGTCATAAGTGCGTAAATCTCCAAGGTCAAAAGGTCAAAGTTGTTGGTATCTAATGAAAGGTCTTGCCACAAAGAATACATATGTGAAATATGAAAGTCCTAGTATCTACCGTTCAAAAGTTGTGACCAAGGTTAAAGTTTTAAAATAGTAGTTAAAACTCCAAGGTCAAGGTCAAAAGGTCAAAGTTCTTGATATCCAATGAAAGGTCTTTTCACAAGCATTACATATTTGAAGTACGAAAGCCTTCACCCTTACTGTTCAAAAGTTATGGTCAAGGTTAAAGTTTTTATTTTATAAGTACGTAAATCTCCAAGGTCAAGGTCGAAAGGTCAAAGTTGTTAATATCCAATGAAAGATCTTGCTACAATAAATACATATGTGAAATATGAAAGTCCTAGACCTACCATTCAAAAGTTATGGCCAAATAAAAGTTTGGAAGTTTTGTGTAAAAGTGGGTCAAACTCCAAGGTCAAGGTCAAAATGTCAAATTTGGTGGTACCCAAAGAAAGGTCTTGTCACAAGGATTACACATGTCAATTATGAAAGTCATAGCTCCACTAAATCAAAAGTTATGGGCAATATTAAAGTTTTTGTGACGGACGGACAGCTAGACAGACTGACAGACTGACGGACAGAGGGACAGCTAGACAGACGAATGAGATTTAATGTCCCCTTGCTTTCGCGAAAGCGGGGGACAAAAACAACTAGGAGGATTACAAAAATGCCAAAATACTAAATTCAATGTATCCTTATATATTCATTATCTTAACTAAATCTATTTTGCAAATATACGGCTAACATAAACCTAGCTGTAGAATTGTAGCCTCTCCGAAAAAAAAAGAGATTGACAGACTGTTTATCCATCCCAATTTTTTTAGACCAGCGAGCTACAGATCTGCAGCTGACTCACAGATCTGCAGCTGACTCAAACCTTTCTCACTTGCTCTAGGCTTTGAAAGCTGTGTCAAGGGGAATAACTCTACCTGTTTGGGTGGATCTAATGAGGGTTATATGTAATAGCACGGGGTATTGAGCCTACTGATACATGTAAGTAATTGATTTTTTTTATTTTAAGCAGAATGGTTAAAACTACCTTATTTATTCGGAAATAGATGTAAAAAATGGGGATCTATCACGTTAATTTTTTTATTTTACTAAAATAGTGCTATTTTTAAGCTTAAATTGGGCTAATTTTCCAAAGGACTTTCAAAACATATTTGATAGATTTGCCAAATATGATGACAGAAGTCATGGCAGTTGATTTAATATATAATTTAGGACCAGCATAAAACAATTCACTGCACAAAATTACTCAGTTTGCGAGCTGCATATAAAAATAGGTATCCAAACTTAACAATATTGAATACCGGTATTTAGAAAGAGAAAAAAAATTATCTTTTTATTCTGAAAAACTTCCGCCACAAAATTGTTTTCCTCTCTAAATGTTTTGGTATGGAATTTAATCATGGGTTTTTATTAACTGAATAAAGTTTAATTAGCATTACTGAATTTCATTCCAATTTTAGTTTAAGAACTTAAACAGAATGTAGATTTTTTTTAATAAATAAAAAATCGAAGGATGTTGCGAGATTGTCACCTTGATTAATAGCACAAGTTATATTATGGCAGAATAATTTTACCCATTTGTGTATATCAGATCCAAACTGAAAATATGTTAAAGTTTTTTGTATGAATTTCCATGAAACAGTATCGAAGGCTTTTTCAAATTTAATAAGTAGTAGAAGACCAGGAATTTCTTCCTCCTCAGTGTACTGCATTATACATAGATAAGCCGGGTGTTTCCCTTATATATCTGTTAGAAATAAAACCTGTTTGATCAGGATTGATAAGTTTATCCAGATAAGTCTTTAGTCTATTTGCAGTAGAACCAGAGACTATTTTATAAACAGTATTTAAGAGTGTAATTGGACGGCAGTTTTTCAGATATTGTCTTGGTTTTTCTCCTTTAGGCAAACGTGTATTGATTCCATGTCTCTTTGTTACTGACAGAATATTATTTTCATAAGCATAATTAATTGACCTAATAACAAAAACTCCGAGAAATCGCCAATAGACCTTAAAAAACTCTGCTGAAAACCCATCAGAACCAGGTGATTCATTTTCTTTCATTTTGCTAAGTGTATTAGAAGCCTCCTGGAATGTAATTTTACCCTCCAAAGATGCATATTCATCTAATGACAACTTTGATATATTTTTGAAATTTAATTAAGAATTTAAGTCATATTTTTTTAACTCTCTGTTGGGTGTAGAGTATAAATTTTCATAAAATTGCTTTGTTTTAATCCAAAATTTCAAATTGGTTTCTGTTATCACCATATATTATCTTTTTTGTGCAGAATTTTTAGCTATACAAATACAAGAAAATAAAAAAAATTAAAGGAATTACTGTATGTAATAATGAAAAGAAAATTTTACAACTTGCTGATGATACCTCAAGTATCCTTGATGGTAGCAAGGAGTCACTGTTCAAAGTATTGGAACATTTTTCAGATGTATCAGGACTAAGAGTTAATTTGTTGAAAACTAATACAGTATGGATTGGATCCAAAAAATATAGTCAAGATATCCTTTATAGAGATTTTAATCTGAAATGGGGGACTAATAGATTCACTTTACTTGGAATTATTTTTGATGTAGAACTTCAAAATATGTCTAAATTGAATTATCAGCCAAAGATAAGCAGAATAAAATCAATCTTGCATCAGTGGGAGAAAAGACACTTAACACCAATAGGAAAAATCACTGTTATCAAAACTTTGGTTCTCCCTTTATTAAACCATATTTTTATGGCAATTCCAAACCCAGATGACAATTTTTATAATGAGTTGGATAAAATATTCTTTTCCTTCCTGTGAAACCACTCTCAACATAGAATAAAACAGGGTGTAATTGTTAAAACATATGAAGATGGGGGATTAAAGATGATAAATGTAAAGGCTTTTATTTTGGATATTTTATACCAATGTTAGGCCAAATTTTTTTTATTAGTTGTTTTACGGATCCGCCGACCCCATTTTTGGAAAAAAAATAAAAATTCCATTCAATCCTTTTTTTATAATCGCCGATCGAACTTTACTTCAAACATATTTAAAAAATCCGGAAATGACCGTACATTGTTTGAATTTTACTTAGTTGTGATCAGAATCATGTAAACGCTTCCACTTATTGACCCTTTTAAAAAACTCTGCAAGCGTTTTATAGTCAGAGATGAAATGAGTATGACGGCCATGTGAAACATTTTAGGTTTTTTAAAATAGAATATAAATGTTTTAAGGACAGTAATAAATGTATAAATGTATGACGGTTTTTATGTATCAATTATTCTATATATGATGTTATCTGATATGCGAATGGAGTGTGGTGGTTGAG